ATTTATATTCTATTTTTCCTCTGACTTATTTATTTTTATAAATTGTGTGTATGTTTCTTAATATCCTTATGCCCTTGAAACAAATAGTATTTGGTCATAATGTAGCATCCTAACAATATATACCACAAGATTCAATTTGTTGATATTTTATTTAGGATTTTAGAATTTATATTCATAAGTGTTGTTGCTCTATGATTTTTATATTTTCTATGTTATTCAGGTTTAGGAATCAGGATCATCCTAGCTTTGTTAAATTTACGGGGGACATTTTCTATGCATTAGTAAATGTAAATAGTATTAGAATCATTTGTCTCGCAAAGGTTTAATAGAAATTGCCTGCAAACTTATCTGGGTCCAGCTCTCTTTGAGTAAGTGGTAATATTTTCCTTTTATTTTATTTTTATTTATTTACTTTTTTTGTTTTTACATTTTCAAAGGACTTTTTTTAGGAAAAGGAAAAGAGGGAGACACTGCATAGACACAGTCTTGGGCAGTCTTGGATGAGAACTGCTGCTATTTTCCTTTAATTAAAAAAATGGCTATATCAGGCCTCCCTGGAGGCACAAGGGTTTAGGATGAAGCCTATGAAGCTGTCTGCAGCCACTGCAGCCCAAGTTCAATCCCCGGCCAGGGAGCTACCCACATGACACAGCAGACCTCTCCTGGCTCACCCGCTGCTCCCCTCAGCAGTGTATTTCAGTCAGTCTGTCTGTTCTGTTCCCCACTCTGTCTCTGGTGAATCCTCTCACCCCCTCCCCACACCTCAGACCTGTACCCCAGTTCTGGTATGCATAAATAAATCTTTAAGGAAAAAAAAAGAAAGGTGCTCACATTTTAAAAAAATGGCTATTTGGTTCAATTACATTGCCTTTTCTTCTTAAGTAAATACTAGTAATATGTATTTTCCAAAAAAAAATTGTCCATTCAGAAAAATTATCACAGAGAGTTGTTGCTGTTAATTTCCTGAACACTTGCAAAAAGAGACTACATCCCCTTTTAAATTACTAATGTGATACATGTGGCTTTTCTCTCATTTTAGGCTTTTATTGCTTTGACTTTATAGAAATTTATATATTTGCTATTTCTTTCATCTTTTGGATATATTCTTTGTTACTGCTCTTTTTCTGTTTTCTAATGTATAATTTTTGGTTTTAACTATAGTAATTTATCCAATTAATTTTAAAATGATTTATTATGAAAATTTCAAGCCTACTGATAATGGAAATAAAAATTCATACAGCCACCATCTAGATTCTGCAGTGATTTTGCTTTATGTCTTCATTACTACTTATCTACCTTTCTATGCATCCATTTTTTTTTTATGCATTTCAAAGTAAGTTGCAAACATCAGTACATTTTGCCATAAACACTTCAGCATACATTCATTAGGTGGAGTTTGATATTTATTTACATATTTCACCTTCATATTTTAATAATTTATCTAGCTCCTTAATTCAACACTTATTTTTCTCTTTACTTAATGAGGATAAAAATATTTAAGATTTATTGACCATTGATCATGTTTCAGGCCATTTTAGGGGATTTTTCAAAATCAAAGACCTTCTCTCTCCAGACCCCAAATTAGGTAATAGATTATTTTTATAAGTCAGTAAATGTAAGGCCCAGCCAGTTCTAAAATGCAAGTCTTTAGTCAGCTTGGGCTAAAATACCAGAAAGCCAAATGCCATAGGCTGGGTGGCTTATAAACAACAGGAATTTATTTCTCACTGTTCAAGAGTCCAGAAGTTCAAGATCAAGAAGCCAGTGTGATTCAGTTCTGAGGAGTGGCCTGTGCTGCAGACTGCAGATTTCTGGTTATATCCTCACATAGCTGAAAGGGGACAAGGGAGCTCCCTGAGTCCCTTCTATGGAGGGACCAACCCCCTTCATGGGCACCCTACTGTCATAATTGAATGGCTCCCAAAAGCCCCACCTCCAAACACCATCACATTGGGAATTAGGTTTCCACTTATGAATTTTAGGGGGACACATTCTGTCTTTAGCAATATAGATACCAATAAGAAGGGATTTTTGTTAAAGCCCCTTTATTTTCAAATCCAAGTATTAAGTCACTACGTATACTTTTTTCTTGATCCCTGATGGTAAACTTCTCTCCTGACTGGTTTCTAAGCTCTGGGCAAAGAGTCAGCTTAGTCCATACTTGTAAGAAGGTGGGACAATAGCTCCATGGACATGACCTGGTAACCATTTCTCTCCCTGCTTCCTTCCTCTTTTGTATCCAAGAAGGAGAGTGATGTCATCCAACTATAGCTTTTCTTTTTCATTTGTAGCACTGAGAGATAAACTTGGTTTGTACATCAATGGGAATATTATACTGCAAATCAGCAAGAGGCAAAATCTAGCAAGCACTCCACTCTTTGCTGTATGTTGCATCTATGATCTCCTGGGACCAGGGAGCTGGAGCCTTGTGCCACTGGAGGAACTGTCATGGCATGGATGGCTAAGAACGACCAAGGAAGATCCTGACAACTTTGTCAAGATTGCTCGAGAATTCCTTTCCTGCAAACATAGTACCAAATGCATTAAATTAACTGTCTTGTGCAATGCTCAGTACCCCTCTACAAGACAAGTGGGATTATTAATACCATTTGCAGTTGATACAACTAAGGCTTGATAGGTTACATTTCTCCAAGGTCACATGCCTGGTAAGTGGCAGAGCGGGGATTATTTGAAACCCGGATCTAACTGAAAGCTTATGCTCAGATTTCTTATAATGTGTATTTTCCTCTCAGTACTGCACAGCTCTGGTTGCATTCAATTTATTTTCTAACATTAATAACAAATAGAGTATAACAGGATAAAATAAGATTTTCTGCCAAAGTTGTTCTTTCCCTTGCTTTTCTATTTGCCGTGGACTTCTACCCACTGAACTTTTATATTACAATGAATTTTTTATTCCAAAAATGCCTGCAAATCAAGAGCCAAAGTCTGAAGGGCTTAGAGTATAGTCTGTAACCATAGTTCCAACCCAGTCTGGGAAAAAATTCATAATGTTGGAAGAGCTGAGATACTGAGAAGGGCTGAGTCACAGGGTGTAGCACATTCTGGGGTAACTTTTAGGACAGAAACAAAACCCCCTCTTCTGAAATGGGAGCTAGAGTAGACATCTGCTGGTTTTGGCCTGCTTGACAAGTAGAGAATAATCTATTTAGGTGACCCCCAAATCTGAAAAAGACAATAGAATATGTAAGACATAGAAAACAGAAAACTAACTACAGACCAGCATCTCACAAAGCAGCCAAGAGAAATTAAAGATGATACAAGTATGAAGATACACATGCTGATGAGTCAGCAAGCTCAATATTGCTAAGATGTCAGTTCTCCCCATGTTTATCTATAAATTCCAGGCAATCCTAATCAAAATCCCTTTGTTTTGTAGTAATTTACAAGGTAATTCTAAAATTTATATGGAAATGCAAAGTTTCTAAAATGAACAAAACCACCTTGAAAAGAAAAAAAAAAAAAGAATAGGATTACTGCCTGACTTCAAGACTTATTATAATGCTGTAGTAATCTAGACGGTGGTGATATTATGTGTATACAGTGTAATTACGTGTATACAGATCGATGGAGTAGAGCCCACACGTATATTGGAAAAGAATAACCTTTTCAAGAATAAAAATGAATTTGCCTGAAATCGAGGGAGGGAATAGAGGGCAGTATCCAGTCCTCCTGCAGCCCTGCAGGACATCTGCAGTCCTAGAGACTGCACATTCCACCCGCACAACCAGCATGCCAGTCTTCCCCGTGCCCATTTAGTGATAGGTCTTTAAATTAGCTTCCTTGGAGTCAGGTTTAGAGAGTGGGTGCCCCAGTCAGGAGTCACTCTGGCAAGTCTCACACTGTCAGGGGTGATGTCTTCATGCAAGTGTTTCCTCACACAGAGGTGGGAAACTGAGGAGACCAAGCCTCCCCAGTATGATCACTGCCCCCAAGGTTAGAAGAGGCCAGGCCTCAGGAACTGAAGGACCCCATGGGCTCTGAGGAATGGGAAGTAACTAACTGAATGAACAGAAACCAACCAACACTTCAGGCTGATGGAACAGCTTGAGCAAAGGCAAGTTGGTGGGAAATCTCAAGACAGTGGAAACAACCATGTCTAGCTGGACCAGAGCATGGGATGAAGTTAGGAAGTTGAGGAGACAGATCTGGAGCCAGATTCCAGGGGTGATCTGATAGGGAACAGAGGACAGATGGACAGATCAGAGTGCTGGTGCTGGAGCCTCCTGGAGGCAATCCACATGGTAGGGTTTAGGGGTGCCCAACTGCAGCCTGGGCTTGCACCTAGAGGTGTTCTGGGGAGAGGACTGAGGTGTCACTGAGGAGGGGAAAGTGACCACTTGGAGCTTGAGATATGGGGGTCAGACCCAGGAGGGAAGAGCACCCACCCCCAACCATGCCGGTTGTGACAGCAAAACTGGGTCTCCCTGCGCATCAGCCTCTCAGGAGCTACTCAGAGCTGGTGGGAAGTTTGGGCTTATTTATGTACCCCCCCCCCCTTTTTAAAAAGATTTATTTATTTATACATACAAGAACTGGGGTACAGGCCAGAGGTGTGGGAGGTGAGAGGATTCACCAGAGACATAGTGGGAAGCAGAACAGGCAGACCGACCAAATACACTGCTGAGGGGAGCAGAGGGCGAGACAGGAGAGGTCTCCTGTGCCATGTGGGTAGCTCCCTGGCCAGGGATCGAACTCATGTTGCAGTGGCTGCAAATAGCTTCATATATCGCATCTTAACCCCTTGCACCACCAGGGAGGCCCTACTTATGTACTCTTTATTTCCCGTGCGCCCCCTGGAGAACCCTGGGCATTCGCTGGGGAATCCCGTGGGGAGACTAGCCTAGCGCTTTGCGCGCCGCGCCGCGCCTCCTCCAGGCAGCCGGCGGGGTGGCCCCGGGCGCCTCAGCCTGCAGCTGCCTCTGCCTTATAAGGCGGGGGCCGGGCCGCGCAGGGGAGGGGCTGTGCCGGGCCTTCACCTCGGCCATCCGAGCGGCTCGGGGCTAGCGAGGGGACGCAGCGCAGCGGCAGCAGGAGCCGAAGAGCGCGCCGAGCCGGCCATGGGCAAGTCAGGTGAGCCAGCTGGGCCCGCCGGGCAGCGGGCGGGATGGGTGGGACGCCCAGGCCTCGGGGACACTCCCCGGCGCGGGGCTGGGTGCCCCCCAGCAGGCTGGATCCCGGGGGAGCCGAGCGGCTGCCTGAGCGCGTGAGACTTGCTGCTACTGCGCTGCGGAAGCCGGGGTGCGCGAAGAAGGGGTGCGCTGGCACAACGCCCGGAGGCTCAGCGCGGGCTGCTTCCACCGCAGCCAGGAAGCCGTTGGCCCCGGGGAGAGGAGGAGAAGGCAAGACCGAGGAGGGTCCCCCGTCTGCGAGCCAGAGGTTGCGCCGGGGAGGGTTTCCAAGCGGGGAGCAGCGCTCTGCGGTGGGCTGGGCGTGGCGTTTGCTTTGTTTCTGGACAGTTGGAGTTGGGGAAAGCCAGTGAGAGCATCTCCCCCGCAGAGCAGCGTCCGCGACCAGCCTCCTAAGGGCAGCCCTGAGCATCTCTCTCCTTCATGTACTAGGCCTTGTGCCAGGCCCAGTCTGACTCCACTTGGGCACAAACTCCCCACTCAGCTTTCACTTTATCTTTGAGGAGTGGGGCCCATCCTCACCCCTGTGACTGTTCAGATGAACTTTCTAAAACGCAACCTCTTCCTGTCACACCCTAAAGTCCTCTGTCCCTTTGCCTGCAGGTGAATGAGTACACACGGTCCAGCTCCTGCTACCACCACCCCCTTGGGGAGCTGGTCATCACCCCACGCTTCACCCTACACTCAGGCCATTCTGAGGCCCACGCTGGCTCTTTCCCAGCTTCCTTTCCCAGTGCTCGCCACCAGCACCACTCTGCCTCTTCCCCTAAAAAATTCTACCCATCCTTCAAGGCTCTACTCCTGGGCTGGGAGCCCATTCCTGATTCCCCCTACACCCAAAGCAGGGCCCCACCCAGTGCCTTCTTTGTTGCAGCCCTCCCAGCAGTCAGTGTGGGATGCTGTCCCCAGACCCCTCACTACTGGCAGACATGTCTGCGTCGGCGGAGCTTAGTGCACAGCTGTTGCACAGAGTTCAGAAGTGCTGCTTCATGGGAAGCTGGGGTTGTCAGCCAGAGAGGAGAATGGCTGGGTCCCTTCTTGAACTTCTCTCTTCTCATGATCCATTCTCATAAGGTGCCAGGGTTGGAAGTGGCCTTCTCTGGCGTTGGTCCTAACTGTCTTTCCTGTCGTGAGCCGTCTGGCTTTCAACCCTGGCTCTGCTAATCACTTGCTGTGCTGATCTTGAGAAAGTCTCTTTACTCTCTGCACCTCGCTTTCCCCATGTGTCCAACGCAGGTGGCCCAGGGCCCTTCACAGTTTGAGAAGGTGACATGGGGGTGCCGTGTAGTTAAGTAGATGCCAGGTGATGGAGCAAGAACATGGCGGATGTGAGAACATTTAGCGATTCCTGCTTGGGAAATCAACTCCTTTCTTTGTAAGCTAGGAGAAAGTACACCAATTCTCTGAAGTTACGTTGAATCAACCAATTGTTTCTGGTGCCTTCCCTAAGAAACAGTTTTCCAGAACTGCTAATATTCAGTTGTGAGCTCGTTCTTCTCTCTTTTCATCCATCTGTGTTTTTCTCCAGTTTGCATCCGTCCACTCCACACAAAGCTGTGTAGGGCATGGCCCTGCCTCTAGAGTGCTCATTTGGATTGTGACATGAATCACAGAACTGATTAGGAGGTAAATATGCAGTGCCTGGCTCCTTAGAAAGTAGGAAGTAGGAACTGAGATTGGGAGAATGGGATTAGGGGATGGTAGCCTTGAGCCAACTGTAAGGGATTTATGAATGAGAGGGAAGGGCCAATGGCATACATCTGGGCGCAGAAAGGTGGTGACACCTTCTAGGACTGGAGATGAAGGGTCGGGCAGGTTTCAGAGGAGGGGGCAGTTGCAGAGGCAAGTTAGAGCTGATTTAGGCAGGGGCCACCTCTTCAACCCCACCCCCCTTCCTCATATACTCAGGCACCTTTCAGAAAGAATGCTGGCCCTGGCTGTCTCCCTCATAGCCACGCATGTTTTATTTCTCTCCCTCAAAGACTATGAGTCCCCATGACAATGTCTGGCTCTCCTAAGGGACCCCAAGTGAAAGCGACTTTTCTGGATGACCTAAACCCAATGAGCCTTCAGCACAGGGCCAACCTTGAGGATACAGACATTAGCCTGAAGTTGTACATGCGCTGCAGCAGAGGCAGCACTCAGAAGGTGCAGTCACATAGGGGCTTTACCTGGTTTCATAAAGACCACCACAAGCCAGTCACTGCCTCTTTGGGGCCTCAGTTTCCTCATCATGGCATAGGAGTCAGTCTCCTTTGAATCTTTAACCTCAGATATACCCCGTGCTGCTGAGAAAGTATCACTTAACTGACACCCCTGAAATCCCAGAAGAACCTTGGGTGGTGTTCATGGCTCCCAAGTCCCACCTCCAGCCTTGGTCTCCCTGCTCAGAGTCAGTTTGCAACAAGTGTGATGGGGCCAGAGGAAGACAATGCCCTTGGGCAAAGTGGAAACCTCTAATCCCTGATAATAGTGATCACCAATTATTAAGCTCCTACTGTGTACCAGTCTTGGAGCTAGAGATTTTCTGCGTTACCAACTTTTGTAACAATCCTGCAAGGAGGTTATTATCAACTTTATAGATTTACGGAGGCTGAGGACCTTGCCCAAGCACACACCTTGGCCAATAAGTGGATGACCTGGGACCTGAACCCAGCTCTGATTTCCCAGCTGTGTGCTCCCTCCTCTATTACATGGACTACTCCCACCCACTCCCCACCTGCCTGGACTCCAGCCCCTTGAGGTTCACCACGCACTCTTGACTTATCTCTAGGAATTTGGTGTCCCGTGACCTAAATTCCCTTGACCAGAGGTTATCAGAGCCTTTAGGGACCAACAGGCTCAGGAATTTTCTACTGAGCCAGGTCCTTTACCTCTACAGGGGAGGCTCCAGGCAAGGTCAGGCCCAACAGTTCTTATAAGGTCTATAAGCAGACCTTATAGAAAAAACAAATGTTCAAAGAAAGGATTTCCCTGCTCTGAAAACATTTTGAAAAACCTCAGATGTCATCTTCCTAATCACACAGATTGGAACTGGGTCGGCTAGGGATGGGTGGGTGGGTAGGGCTGCTGGGGGGATTTAGCGTGCTCTGAGAGTGGTCCCAGGCAGGCCTGGAAAAAACACTACCTCTGCAGACCTGAATCAGCTCACCCTGCCCTGGCTTCTTCAGCCCTTCAACCACTATTGTCTGTTTGCAAAAGGGGCAGCCTAGAGCTAATCCTCCTCAGACTGCCCTGTTCCAGTAAGCAATTGAGCAATTCTTCATTGACACCTGTTTTTATTAAGGATGTCTGTGAAATGGAGAGTGTGTACCATATGAGACTGGAGAGCGGGTGAAGGGAGGGAAGTTCTTAGATCTGATCTAAGTAATTGCTTTGTGTGACCTTGGGCAATTAACATGTCCTTCCCAAGACACACACACACATTTCCCACATTTCCAGTGCTGCTGTGAAAGTCTCCTTCCTTTATTTACTCACTGATTCATTCACTCAGAAAATATGCAAGCTTAGATATGTTGAGAGAGGTCATCCAAGATCAATTTAAATACCACTTCTGTGGCCTCCCTCGTGGTGCAAGGGGTTAAGGACCGCACTATGAAGCAATCCACAGCCTCTGCAACATGAGTTCGATCCCCAGCCAGCCAGGAATAAACCCACATGGCATGGCAGACCTCTCCTGTCTCGCCCGCTGCTCCCCTCAGCAGTGTGTTTCAGTCCGTCTGCCTGTTCTGTTCCTTGCTCTGTCTCTGGTGGATCCTCTCACCTCCCCCCCTCCCCCCGCATCTCTGGCCTGTACCCAGCTCTTGTATGCATAAATAAATGAATAAATCTTCAAAAGAATAAAAAAAGAAAAAAAATACCACTTCTGCTCCCCTTAAAATTAAGGAGGGGATCTGGGCAGTTTCTCTCAGAGCCATACATTAAAGGGTCTCTACCCAATAGTTGACATTTAATAATTGTCCTCTATGTCCCAGAACTGTTCTAAAGCATTTATGTAGATTAATCAATTCTCACAACAACCCTGTGAGGGAGATACTATTATTCCCATGTTATATTTGGGGGAAATGAGGCACAGAGTGATTAAGCAACTTGTCCAGGATCATACAGCTGGGAAAAAGCCTAGCTGGAATTTGCTTCTTGAATTCCCCAGAACTTGGGCTGAGAGAACAAGAGTTACCCATTTGAAAAACATTCTTTTTTTTTTTTTTCAAATCAACATTTTTATTCTTCCTGATAAACTAGCAAAACTAGCTTTGCCCCAAAGGTAACTTTCTAGCCTCTTGCCAAGCGGACAGAAGGGACCAGTGTGCAATAACTGCCCTGGACGCTGACCATCCTGGGCCTCTTTGGTGGGGAGTCTGCAGAAGGCAGAGATGAGAGACTGGCTGAGCACAGGGAGGCCACAGTAGAAGAGGGATGCTGAGGAGGGCCTGTCCCAGCCAACAGCCAGGAGGGAGGAGGCCACAGATCTCAGAGGCTATACAGCAGTTAGACACTTTTGCCCCTGAGACCTCAGAGCAGGAGCCCCCAGTTCAGCCCACCTCCTCTCAACTCAGGGAGCTTGCCCAGTGGGCTCCTTCCACTTTCTACCTTCCAGTAGCTCTGACCTCAAGCCCCAGGCCTGCTCTGCTTTCCTCTGTGGCCGCTCAGGCAGGTCTGCCTCTAAAGGACTTGGCACAGAGGAGGCTCTTGAGAAATCTTATTTCTTTGCTGCGCTTCCTTCCTCCTCTTCTTTCCCCTCAGAGATTTAAGGTCAGCTGCAACCTCCTATGAGCCTGTTCTTCCTGCTAGGTCATCAGACCTAAGAGATGACCCCCATTGTCATGGCAACCCCCTCTGTCTCTTCTCTAATTTCCTTTGTCTCCTGGCACTGGGAGTGTGGACTTTGAACCAGCACAGGGGTTTCCCCTCAGACCCAGTTTTCCTCCTGCTGAGTCAACACCTTAACCAGCTGTTGGAATCTAGGCAGGGTATTTCCTTTCTTGAGCTTCAGTTTACTCACAAAAAGAAAAAAATGGGTGTAGTATTGGAAGCCCTCGAAAAAGGTAGTAAAAAGTAAATACGGTCATACCCAGACCCAGCATGATGTTTACCTGCCTACAAAAGAAGGACATAACCCCTGACCTAATGCAAAGGTGGGTGAGTTTTCTTTGAAGGTTTTTTCCCCCTTATGTTTATCTGTGTTTCTGGGGTTTCTACAGACATAGGGTGTGCCTCTTCTGGATGTGATCCCCAGTGATAAGTTACCTCCCCAAGGCTGAGGCCCTGCTCAGAGGAGCCACCTGGGCTGGCCTGCAGCTGTAAGGGGCGTGGACTTGAGGGTCCATCAGAGGTGTGGTCATGAGGCCCCCATGCCTCCCAACCAGGGTGGGGAGAGAGGGCTCCCCTCCTGATTATCAAACAGGCCTCTTCACCCCTTCCTGGGAACTCTGGTGCAGGAACTGGCCCTCCTGGGACATCAACTAGCTTTGGCTTCTGGGCACTGAGCTTAGGTTGGGTACCAGAACTGTCGCTTTTTTTTTTCTTTACTTCCCATATTCTGGGAATGTAGTGACCTAGTTTTTAGCAACTTTATAGCCCCGCTCTGCCAAGGAGACTATAGGGTCTACAGCATTATGGGGTCCAGTGCAACCTGACCCCAGAACTCAGGGCTGCCTTTAAACTGACTTCTCCCTATCTCCCCACCCACTGTCCTTATCTCTACCACATGACCTCTTCCACCCGGGCCCTTGCTGTGCCCTTCGCTTTCTGACCTCAGGCTTCCTGATATAGGAATGCCTTCTGGGAGCCTTCCTGGATACATCTATGGTCACCACTCCTCGTGCTGTGCCCTTCCATGCATCTCCCTGGTGTCCCACCATGACCTGCCTGGGACATGGGAGCTGGAAGGGACATTAGGATGGGCTTGGCCATGCTGGTCACTCAGATGGGCACCATCTGCCACTCTGAGGTGTGCACCCACATTTTGATCTTTTTTTTTTTAAAGATTTATTTATTTATGCTTACAAGAACTAGGGTACAGTCCAGAAGTGTGGGGGATGAAAGGATTCACCAGAGACAGAGTGGGGAGCAGAGCAGGCAGACTCACTGAAATACACTGCTGAGGGGAGCAGCGGGCGAGTCAGGAGAGATCTGCTGTGCCATGTGGGTAGCTCCCTGGCTGGGGATTGAACTCTTGCTGCAATGGCTGGCGATAGCTTCATAGGTTGCATCTTAACCTCTTCCACCACCAGGGAGGCCCCACATTTTGATCTTTTAAGAGAAGCTGTGAGCTCCTGGGAGTAAGGCCAGTTGTTCTTATCTCCTCTCATCCAATCCTGATGGGCCTTTGCAAGGTCTCAGGATTAGAAGGGACTTTCTCAGTTACTTGCAATTTGACCATGTAAGACCCCATAGCTAGCTCTTCTCCCCTGCATCACCGCTTCGGAACTCACTTCAGATGTCACCCCCGCGACAGGGTGGGACTGGCTGAGTGAAGCGTTCTGGCTGGACACTGGCCAGCGCAGGAGCCAGGCCTCCTCGTGGCTCATCACACATGGACGGCTCCCACCATTTCCACCTGAGACGTTCTTTGAAAACCCCTATAATTCTGTTATCTAAATGCCACATTATCATGCTAACCCTGATTTCCTTATTATTGTGGTTAAAAACATGTAACATAAAATTTCCCACCTAACCACTTTTAAGTATACATTTCAGCAGTGTTCAGTATCTTCTCGTGCTGTAAAACAGAGATCCAGAACTTTTTCATCTTGCAAATCACAAACCATGTACCCTTCACCAGTACTTCCCTCTCCCTCCCTCCACTAAACTCCACAAAGACCCAAAGACTCGCATGCTCAGCTACCATGGCCACGGTTTTCACCTTCATGTCCCTTGTTCACAGCATCTCCCCATCTCTGCTTGTCAACCAAAACCTCCCACATTCCATCTCACCCCACATTTCTGTGGCTAGACCTCGCTGAACTTCCCTGATAGGCCCCAGAATCTGCAGTCGGTACCACTCACTCAATTCATCAGAAACCCTCTGGGCAACTCAGCTGTGGCTGGCATGACCCACAGTTACCTTACCCTCATCTATCTGCATCTTGCCCAAGCTCCTTGAGGGTCTTCCCCTTAGGTTTTTTTTTTTTTTAAGTTAATTTTATTATTTTTAAAGATTTATTTATTTATACAAGAACCGGGGTATAGGCCAGATGTGCGGGGCGGGATGTGGGGAGGTGTGAGAGGATTCACCAGAGACAGAGGGGGAACAGAACAGGCAGACTGACGAAATACACTGCTGAGGGGAGCAGCGGGTGAGACAGGAGAGGTCTGCCGTGCCATGTGGGATTCTCACCGGCCGGCTGGGATCAAACCGGCGCTACAGAGGCTGTGGACAGCTGGACAGCTTCACAGCGCTGCACTCAACCGCCCGCGCCACCGGGGGAGGCCCATCCCTTTAGGTCTCTTTAGAGACCTGATTGGGATTTGGTTTGAAGGCCCAGGAGACATGGCAGATCTGGGTGAGGGAGGGGAAGAGGATTTTTATTGGGCCATGTCCTCAATCCCTAAGGTCAAAAGACAGAGAAGAGGCAGCTGGTGAATCTGACTTGGGCCAGTAGAAGGAGGGGTGCTTCTTCCATCCTCTGGTGGATACTCTTCCAGCCTCCACAACTGCTAGGCCTTGGGGATAGGCTCCTGCCAGATGGGAGTAGCTCAGTTCAGGCTCTCTGTGGCCCTCACTCATAACTCACTCCCATTTCCACTGAAAGTAATTCCCCGATTCCCAAGGCTGTTGCTCTGTGCCTTCACCATCTTGACCTGGCTAGTTCCTGCCCAGACATCTTTGGGGACTCAAGTCAGTGCTTACCTCCTTCCTGATCCTTCATAACAGACTATTTGCTCTCTGAGTTCCTCCTTACCTATGTCATCAGCACCTTGGCATTTATCACGCCGTTTGCTAGTATCTGTTTACAAGGCTGACTCCCTCTGTGTGTGTTGAGGGCTGGACATGGCTGATTTGCCTTGGGTCTCTAGCACACAATCTATGACCTCCTCTTACATATCCTCTGTGTATATTGCACAGAGGAGGTACCCAGACAGCAGATGAGTAGATGGACAGACAGATTGGATGGATGCTGCTGCTGGTCAGAGAAGAATCAACGGTGCTGGAGAGGTGGACAGAGGATCCTAGATAATCGTTGGCTAGATGGATGAGTGGAGGATGGTGGATGGAGGATGGTAGATGAATGGGGCGCCGTTTGAGATCCAAACTGAAGTCACTTCTGTCGTTATTGATATTGTCTGTCTTGGATTCATCCTTTCTTTCTCCCCCAACCCTGACCCCTTGCCCTTGCCCTTTCTGAGATCATGACCCAGTTGGGCGCAGGCTCTACCTCTTCCCTCACTGCAAACCTGGGCTCAGTTGATCACACCTTGTCCCCCAAGACCGACATGTTCTCTTCCACGCTCTTCCCTCATTTTCCGCACAGCTGTGCTTCCCTGCTCCTTTTTTCTCTCTGTCCCTCTATCTTCCTGGTTTTGCCACTCCACGGGCACCCCTCCACTCCAGCCAGGTCTGTCTCTCAGAACTGTCCCCTCTAGCCTTTCCCAGGCCCCACCACATATCATAGGTCCAGTCTGAGATACCCGGTCTCCTTTTAACATTTTCTTTCAAAAGCCCAGTTGCTCACTGACCAGCCCCCCAATACCTGCCCTGCATCTCTATCCCACCCAGCAGCCAGCAGGGTCTTTCAGAAGCACAGGTCTTCTCCGCTCACCTCCCTATCCCATTGAATAGCCTCCCACTGCCTTGAATCAAGACCCCGTGTGGCCCTGCATGCCCCAAGGGGTGCGGATATGCAGAGATGAGAGGGTGGAGTCAGCAGAGGTGTGGAGCAGCCCATCTGGCTGGGGTGCCAAAGGGGAACAACAGCTTCTCCCTGTGGCCTGAAGTTTGAAATGAGTGTCCCTGGGAAGTCTGCTGCCAGTCATTTGATGGGTCTTTTCTGTGTGCCAAGACATTCTCCATTTTGAAATTGCAGCTTCCAAGCAGTTTAATAATGAGGTTCTGAAGGCCCACAACGAGTACCGGCAGAAGCATGGTGTCCCCCCGTTGAAGCTCTGCAAGAAGCTCAACCGGGAAGCTCAGCAGTGAGTCCTCTAGCACCTGAAGGAGACTCAAGCCCTACCCAGTGCTGCTGCTGCAGTCGTAAAGGGACCCTGGGGTGGCTGGCGGGATGCAGGGTTTGCGGGTAGACAGCCAAATTTGAATGACCCCTCTGCCTCTTACCTAGGAAGGTAGTTCCCTTGTTCCTCTGAACATCAGTTTGCGCCTCTGTAAAATGGGACTGTTGGGGGGCTCAGAAGAGATACAGGTGGGACACTCCTCAGTTTCCTCAGCCAGTCCAGGCACGGAAAAAGCTCAGCCACACCGGTTAGGGCTTAAGCTCTGGGCACTTCCGGCTTGCACCGCTCTGAGAGAGCCCCATGGGCCCCGCAGGTATTCGGAGGCTCTGGCCAGCACCAGGATCCTCAAGCACAGCGCGGAATCCAGTCGCGGCCAGTGTGGAGAGAACCTGGCGTGGGCATCCTACGATCAGACAGGTGGGTGGCTTTCTCTGCTCCCCTCCCGTTGCTGGGCTGAGGGCATCCAGCATTCAGGCCCTTCCTGGCCCCTGCACCCTCCATGCCTGTGTGGTGCAGCCTTACGCCAAGAAAGGGGAAGGAGCCCCAGAGCCTTCTTGCTTGCTCCTGGAGGCTGACTGCAGTGCTCAAGGTCTCTGGAGGCCAGCGCAGGGCCAGGCTGAGGCGGGTGCCAGGAACAGACATGACTCAGACTGCCTGCCCTTCCCCCTCCCAGGGGCTCCCGCTGAGGGGCGGGGATCAGGAGAACAGCCATTTCTGGGCAGAATCTCACCCTGACCCGTGCCCTCCCCAAGCCGCCCCAGCTACAGAAGATTTTTACTTTCTCCACCTTTTCCTACATTTTTTTTTACAGTGCTGATGACTGAACTCTATCACTGGAAAAACTCAATAGAACTTGCCCTATGTTGGAAAAAAAATTGATGGGAAAGATAATTCCTACATCCAAGGTCACTGCCAGAAATGGTGATCCCACTGCAGTGATCAAACATTCTTGAGCCCCGACAGCCCTGATGTAGCTTTTTAGGAAAAATGTTGGCATGACTTAGTCTCCAAACCCCAGCGGGAGAAAGGCCCCGCCTTCCCTGCCCTCACATTCCTGGGTTCCCTGGGGAAGCCCAGAGAGTCCACATGGTTTCCCCAGCAGCTCAGGCCTAGCCCGGGACTGCAATGCTGGGGGCCCCTCCAGAAGGTGTGCGCATGCTCCTGCAAAAGGTCTGCACACCCACCAGCAGCCACGGAGGGGTTGGGGAGAAAGAGGGTGAGAGGAGGGGAGTGGGGGAGCAGAAAGGAGGACACAGAGGGGTGGGAATCAGCTCCCCAACCCTCTGCTCCTACAGGCCCTGCACGGTGGAGCCTTGAGCTACTGGGGGACACCCCCCCTTTCGATCCCGGTTTCCCCACATCTACAAAGAAGGGGTGGGGTAGTGGTCTCTATGGCAGTGTTTCTCCACTCTGGCTTGTACTTCGGGGTCTTTTGCAGAGCTTTTTAAAAATATCAATGCCTGGGCCCTCCAGCAGAGTCCCTGACACAGTCTAGGCAGGGCCGCCGCAACAGTAGATGCTCCGCAGGTGAGGTCAAGGCCTTGCTACTCAGTGTGGTCCACCCACCAGCAGCAAGAAGCCAGGTCTGGAAATTATTTGAAACACAGACACTTATGCTCCTCCCTGGTCCTAATGAAGGCAGAATCTGCACTTTAAGTAGCACCTGAGATCTGACTCTAAGATCAGCAGCTTTCAGGAAAACGCGGAGGGTTCTCTCATATTACTGCCTGCCAGGCTGACAGATCGGCCAGTGGAGGACCTCCTGCCTGCAGTGAAGACCCTGGCCTACCAGTTCAACTGCCTTTCCTCCTGTAGTTATTTCAGGAGCCAGACTTAGGGTGGGCAGTGGGCAGAGTCTCCTGGAAACTGGGAGCCTCGTTAGAAGTCCTTGGAGTAAGTTTGAATCTGCCCTTTTGTGCAGAGGCCTGGAAAAGGGAAGGCCTGGCCCCCGATTATACAGTGAGTTAGTGGCAGGGTGGGGACATAGATATAGGTCCCCAGATCCCAGGTCAGGGCTCTTCCCAACCCCCAACAAGGTGCTGTCTTCAGCCTGGTATGCTCCTGTTCCAACTCGCTGGGGCTTTTTCAGATGTGTAGCGGTGGGATAGGTGATTTGGGGTTAATGGGAAAAGGTGGGAAAATAGAGAATGGACCAATTTTGTTGCTGTGTTTTAAAACCCTGTCTTTTCTATGCAGGACAGGAGGTGGCAGATAGATGGTACAGTGAAATTAAGAGCTACAACTTCCAGCAGCCTGGCTTCACCTCTGGGACTGGTGAGTGGCGGGGTCCAGCAGCGCTCTGGCCCAGTTGCAGTTTGGTGTCTGATTTTGAAGAGGTGATAATCCTCTGGCAATCATCATTTCCCTCCTGTTGTACCTCTTCCATATTTCTTTCCTTTTATTTTATTTTATTTTTTTAAAAAAGATTTATTTATTTATACAAGAACCGGGGTACAGGCCAGATGTGTGGGAGGGTGAGAGGATTCACCAGAGACAGAGCGGGGAACAGAACAGGCAGACTGACTGAAATACACTGCTGAGGGGAGCAGTGGGCGAGACAGGAGAGGTCTGCCCCGCCATGTGGGTTGCTCCCTGGCCAGCGGGGATCGAACTGGCACTGCAGAGGCTCTGGACAGCTTCACAGCGCTGCGCTCAATCACCTGCACCACCAGGAAGTCCCCCTTTTTGAAAAAAAATTTATTTATTTATACAAGAACTGGGGTACAGGCCAGTGGTGTGGGAGGGTGAAAGGCTTCACCAGAGATGGAGCGGGTCACAGAAGAGTCAGGCGGACCGAAACACTGCTGAGGGGAGCAGCGGGCAAGACAGGAGAGGTCTGCCCCACCATGTAGTATCTCCTGGATGGCCGGGATCGCACCCGCGCTACAGAGGCTGCGGACAGCTTCATAGCGCTGCGCTCAACCTGCTGCACCACCACAGGAGGCCCTCTTCCGTATTTCTTGACTTGACTTTACCCAAAGAAAGAGTAAAAGTCTTTCCCGACTACCTCTCCTAACACACATAGACAAACACACTCCACCATGTATGAGCACCTCAGCTAGGACCCCCACCCCCAGCTTAGTCCTTCATAGGAGACGAACAAGCTTTTAAAGCTGTGTCGTGCTTCTCTCCTCGAGTGGTCTTTCTGCACTTTTAAACCTGTCATCCTATGTGCAGTCTTGCTCACCTCCAATCCAGCCCTCTCCAGCAGTCAGAATATTCTAAAATCCTCTCTGTCTAGGTTATTTTCCTGATTTATCTGCTGTTCCTGCCTCTGATGACAGCCCCTGCTCCCTTCACACCTCTCCTCCCTTCCTCCCCCACATCCTGGCCACACGCCACACCTCAGGGCCTCCTAGGCATTCTCCCTCCATCTCTATGTTTTGGTTTGTGGTTCAGGGAAGCATGGGATATGGAAAATCTGAATCTAGTCTCAGTTCTGGCACAATTAGTTGTGTAAACCCGGGTTGACTCTGTATCCTGCCCTGTCCCCGAGGAAGAGGAACAAGGTGGTGATGGAACATTCTGATGAGAACTGGTGCTTAGATGCATGGAGGAGCCTGCCAGGGAACCACCAGCCTTTCTCACAGGCCTCCATGGTGAGTGGTGAATGCTCAGCTGACCAAAGCCCAGGTAGCTGCTCTGAGCTCTGGGCTTCATCCTGCCCCTCGCCAGGCCTGGCCAGGTTCCTTGCCTTCCCAGAACCCACTCAGCTCTTCCTGGGGCCCAGGATGAGTCGGGAAGGGCTCGGAGTGTCCCTGACCATAAGGGCCCAGGAAGGGAAGAGGGAATTCTCTGTGCACCCCATACCTCTGCGCCACCCCATACCTCTACCCGACCCCTTACCTCTACCCACCCCTTACCTCTACCCCACTCCTTACCTCTACCCCCCTCATGGGTGGGGCCATGTATGACCTCCCACCCTCTGGAGGATTCTTCAGAAGCAGGAAGTTTTCTGAGAACCACATTTCCTGTGGTTTGCAACTCTTTGGGCAAGGGTTTTTGCAACTGTGTGGGCAGGGATAGGGCAGAGGTATCAAGCTTCTGCCAAGGTGTTCCTGCTCTCAGCACTCCAGGCTGGTACAGAGTCAAGCACCCACCCCACCCCCCACACCCAGCGATTGAATCAATGATTCTGTGGCACTGCACTTTGAGGGGTGGGGTGGGAGAAGTAGCAGCCTCCTAGCCATGATTAAGGAGATGGAGGCAGAACCTTGTCTTCTTTTCATAAAAATCAGCATCCAGATCTTATTTCATTGGGCCCAGATTTGCTTTTCTTATGAGCACGATTCATGAGCCATTGAACATGCATCCTTGCTCACGTGTGCACACCACCTCCACCACCAAGCCATGTCAGCCTCCGTGGTGCCACTTGAATGTAGGGCTTTATTCGACCCATTTTGGAGAGGAGGAAGCCAAGGCCAGAAAGGGGAAGAATCTTCTCTCAAGACTGTGTCCAGTCTGATCCTTTTTCCATGGCCCACGGTCCACAGCGGGAATCACCTGAGTGTCAGAAGTGGGAATGGGACTTAACTTGCTATGATCACTGGTCTCCTACCCCACCAGTGCTCCACAACCCCCACCGCTAAAGAAGACAGTTAGAGCAACTGGTTTTGTAGCCTTTCAGGGCCGGAGGGCATTGCCTGGGCACAGAGCCTGAGCCAACCCCGGAGCATAGCTTTGGTTGCTGTTATTATCTGGGCTTGCAAGACCTTTCCTCAGCAAGGGCCTCAGACCCATCACCCCAGCTTCCCCCTGTTGAACCATTGTTCAGAGTTTCCCTGACCAAGTCCCGTAGAGAAAGGGGTCTTTAAAATATCCTATAATCTGTCCCCAACCAAGACCTTGCTGTTGTGATGGACACAAGCCTATGCTATATAGCGAGTGGAGAGAAACAGTTTCTTAAATTCCTTTGTTACATTCTATTTTAATGATCTGATATGAAATTTGTAAGCTCTAGAGGTCCTCCCTACCATCCCTGTGCTCCTGCACCTCCCCTCAGCACCCACGATGTGTCTTGTGTGTGATTCTAGAGCAGTTCTGAGCCTGTGCCAGCATTTGTGTGTGTGTATTCTTATTCCCCCTTTCTAGACTCAAGAGTCAAATATGTCATCTCTTTCACATTTGCTTTCTTCACATTGAAAATGGTCAAGGATTGATCCATATCAATACAAAAAGAGCCTTCTCATGCTTTCTCACTGTTGGGCAAATTCCTTTGCAAGAATATATGGAACTTATTAATGTGTTTTCCACAGATGTATTCTAGAAGTTTGGGCCTATAGTAAGAAAGAGGATGTGATCCCTTTAGGGAAAAAAAAAAAGAAAAGAAAAAGGAAGCTGTTAGAAAAAACAGTGTGTATCTGATGGTTGCTAAGGAAGTTGTGTCTTTCACTTGAGCCCTACATACTCATTCTTAATTATCTCTGTGTAGACTGAAGCTCCCAGCCAGGCAAAAGATCAGTCTCATCTGTTTGGAAAAGGCTTCCACAGCATTCATGCTCCCTAAGCATGTTGTGTTGACATCGTTTCGTTGGCAACCAGCAGACAAATGGCAACTCTTCCTTGTCTGGGAGCCCTGAGAGAGGGGGTGGGTCAAGGGCCAGAGCCTGTGGTTCTGGGAAAGGAGGCTTGGCTGAAAAAGGGCTTGCTTGAGCCTTAAAGAAAAGACAGCCTGTAGAAGCTGGACACTTGGCAAAGTGAGTCCACAGTCTAAGGACCAAGGGTGAGTCAGCAAGAAGTGCTTGTCTGTGGGTCTGCTAATCCTAAGCAGCCTGTTCGGCCACCATTTTGTTACATACAGTTCTAAATCCTAAGCAAGGTCCGAACAGCCCAGTCAGTTAGGTACAGGAGCCCAACCCTGCAAGATGCCTTTCAAATCACTCAAGCACAAAACTGGATCATGCTGGGAAGGCTATGCATCATGAGGTATGACCAGGAATGCCTGGGGGCTGATGACTGATGCATAAAACATACTCCCAACTTAGGCATCACGAGGTATGACTGGGAATGCCCAGAGGGCCAAGGACCGATGTATAACATGGGACCCCAGAAGCTATGCCTTGTGGATAAGATTGAAACCAAGGCTGGGGAACTACGGCTTGATCTCAATTACAATACCTTGTCATCAAGCAGATGAGAAGTGCCTGGACAGCAGACTCACAATCCCTGATAATGTAGATGTTAGCACATTTTCTAGTTACCTTCTTTCCTTTTTTCTTTTTTCCTTCTTCCCCTTACAACTGATGATATATGATTATTCTATCAATAAAAAGGCCAGGATCTTGCTCTTCCGCAGCATCCTGCATTATGTAGCCTGCTCCATAATCTCATTTCTTTATCAGTGTGGTGTTGCCTGATGCAATACCTGTCCTCTGTTCTGAGGTGAAAATCAGAGCAGGTTGGGCGATGGTTAATACAGGTTTAAGGCTAACTGGTAAAGATGTGTAATTGCTCCAAGGGCTCATTTTCCTTTCATTCTTGCTTTGGTTGTCTCACATCAACTCTGCTGATTTGTGTTTATGTCTGGTTAGTGACCAAATTTAGTAGCCCTCAAATATTTTGTCGATATCAATGAAAAAATAAACTATATCAAATTTTTAAAATTATAAAAATGGACTTCAGCTGAAGGGATGGAACGTACAATTTAGACCATGAATATTTATTCAGTCCTTACCATGTATGAGGCACACATGGAAATATCAACTTTAACTCTTTAACTTTAGAAGAGTGTGGATACCAGTCTCAGTTGCCATCCCTCTCTTCCCTTTAATTTTGTGGTAAAATACACTTAACATAAACTTTGCCATTTTAGTCATTTGTAAACATATAGTTTGGCTGTGACACGCTTTCGTGCAGCCATCCCCACCATCCATCTCATGAACTTTTTCACCTTCCCAAATTTAAACTCTGAGCACCTTAAACAATAGCTCCCCATCTTCCCTACTGTCCCTATCCCAGTCCTGGTGACTTGGTTCCATTTTCTAAGAATTTGACTTATGTAGGTGGAATCATACAGTGTTTGTCCTTTTGTATCTGACATTTCCATTAGCAGAATGTCCTCAAGGTTCATGCATGTGGGTGCATGCATCAGAACTTCATTCCTTTAAAAAAAAAAAAAGATTTATTTTATTTATACAAGAACCAGGGTATAGGCCAGATGTGCAGGAGGATGAGAGGATTCACCAGAGACAGAGTGGGGAACAGAACAGGCAGACTGACGAAATACACTGCTGAGGGGAGCAGCGGGCAAGACAGAAGAGGTCTGCTCGCCATGT